GGCATTCCTATCTTATTATGCAGGGAGCACAGGCTTTGACTGGCAAGGTAATCCCAGGGGGCTTAGAGTGGGTAAGGAATAGCTAGTGCCTCCCGGTTACCTCCCCACCATCTCCAACAAGCTGAAGGCAGCGCTGCCTCTGCTGATTCCTAAACACAGCCTCAGGAGCTAGTTCAGCGTCCAGGAGCACGACCCTCTGCGCACGGCCCTGGAGGAAGCAAAGCAGTCTCCCAGATCCCCAGGTTCCTGTCCTGAGGGGTTGTGTGTGAACTCCGGGCTGCTGGCTCGCTCTGGAAAGAAGATCCACATCTTCTAGGCACTGGAAAGATGTGTCTCAGATCACACAAGCGCCTTGTGAGCATGAAATGAAACAAGGACGCTCACTGGAGGAAAATCATAGAGTGGCGGGTGTCTCTGAGAGAGAGCAGAGGTCATAGTCAAGGATGCATGCTCTCTTACGTGCCCATGTGAGAAAAGAGCATGCACTGTGAAATAAGTCACGCTGAGTGAATGCAGAGCATTGCCTGTAACTGCACGTGATTAATACCGGCTTCACCACTGCAAGAGGGCCGTGGCCAGGCTCTTCTCGGACTCTCTCTGCACGAGTAGCTCAAGTCCCTATTGTGTACGTAACCCTGGGTCACGTAAGCCTGAGTGCTACACCTCCCCACGCACACTACAAAGCCAGTGACAGGACAAGCGAGAAAGCAGTGTCTGAACACCAGGAACAACTTCAGGAATCAACCTTGGGGACTTTCCTCAGGCTGAATTTGTCCTTCCTAAAAATACTCGACTGCACGAGAACCAGTTCAGCTCATCTGTTACACAGCCCGAGATGTCATCCGCTGGAGATTAGAGCTGGCAAGCAGCTTCTTTAAAATGGGAAATGTGAAGGCCCGTCAGGCATGCACACTCAGGAACAGCCTGTTGAATTCACCGTGCTTTGCTGAGCTCAGCTCGGGATTCACCTGGAGCAGAAAGCACCGGTCGTCGCAGTCTCTGATGGCCGGAGGCAGAGGGTGTCACATCACCGGACACCTGCTTGTGCTGCTCCCTGGGTGGGATGTGCACCCATTATCTGAGGTTGCCCAGAGTTTTTGAACCTTCTTTCCACATCACCTTTCCAATGCAGGACCCTAATGCCTGCTGGGATGCAGCAGTTGACTCAGGGTCCATAACTGCTTGCATCTGCAGGAGACATGGACTCAGCCCTGACTTGCATGGAGGAAGAGGTAGGAAACAGGGCATCGCTTTGCTGACATCAGTGGAGGCAGACGGGAGTCAAGGCAGCAGCGTCCTGACTCGGCAGCTGCCCGACCCAGTGGGGCAGCAGCTCCCTGGTGAACCAGGTCTCACGGTGGCCCTGGAAGCCTGCTCATGCCTGAGCCTCTGGCTCTCCCAGCAATTCTGTGAGCTCCGTTGATCCCTTCTTTAGCCCCTTCTGGCTTGAACTGGCTGAAGCAGATCCTCTTGTCTACAAGTAGGGACCCTCTGCTAACACAGGCAAGCAAAGGCAGCAGGAGGCAGGGATGTGGTAGAAGAGTCCAGAAAGGTATGGGAAGTTTGCAAGCATTCTGAGTAATGGCCACCGTTTGTGAGGTCACGCCATGTGCATCATCCCTAGCCTCACAGCAACTCCACTAGGCATTATAATTCCCATTTTACGGATGAGGAAATCGGCTCAGCATGGTTAAAGGGCCTGCCCAAGGTCCCACTGTGTCACCCTGCCAGGTCAAGGCCACCTGCAGAAGGGTGGAAACTGCTTTCCCTCTAACCCCTCTTCATCTTGGCTCCCAACTCTCAGGGTCCAGAGCTCCCATTCATGTGGGGAACACTGCAGAGTTTGTGCATGGGCCTCGTCAGTGACATAGACATGCATTTGTCACAGAGAGCCCATCCCTTAGAAAGGATTGATGATGGGGCTAGGGTGGGGGAGGAGTCCCCAAACAAATGATAAACTATGAGCAGAGTCCACCACCAAGGGGTTGGTATTACAGGAGCTATTCGCTTCCTGCATGCAATCATCATGCTTCTTGAGTGTTTTACAAAGAGTAGGTGGGGAACCAGCAGATGGCATGATGGTTATGTCACTGGATTCCCACATAGCTGACTGTGGTTCGAGTCCTGGACTCAGCGACCTAAAGCAGGTATGTGTACATGTGTGCCCAAAATTCCAAGAGGAGAATGGAGGAGAAGGGATTATGGTGTAGTCATCCTCCCCCCACCCTGGGGGGAGTGATTTCTCACTTTCTGTCTGTCTTCCTGGCAAGCGCATGTGTCCTATAGTAAAAATCTCTCAAAAAAAAAAAAGAAAGAAAAAAGAAAAAGAAAAAAAAAGTAGGTGGATTCTATCATCATGTATTGCAATTCTTGCCACCAAATCAGTTGTTTAGGAGGGGTGGAAATACAAGAACTCTAGAATTGTGATTGTTGGCTAGTGGGGTGGCAAGCGATTTCGATTTTCATCGTATTCTGTGTTAAACTTGATCCTAAAATGAATAGGTGCTCATGTTGCTTTTAGCTACAGGAACAGAAACCCAAACTCAGACTGGATTGCACTGTGAGGACATCGACGAGTCACACGACTGCAGGCTAATAAAAGGAGGGCCCTGGAGTGGCCGGAGCATCAGAAGAACCCAAGACCCTTTCTGGGTTTTCCGTGTCTCCTCCCAGCGGCCTCAGCATTCCCTCCACCACAGGCTGCTTCCCGCCGTGGGCACTTGTTCTCTGAGAACAAGTGGGTCCCACCTAGTCACAGACCCAGTCCCTTAGTGTCTAGCACATGGTTGCCTGAGGTTTTCTGAGGCTCCTTTCTTGGCTAATAGCATCCCTTTCCTCAGCTGTCATGGCTCAAAATTAAGTTTCATCCTGAGCTGCGAAAAGTACTGAGCTTTTATTGACACTGACTGCAGACTTTGCAACACTTAAGATCCTGGCCAAGCTGAATGAACGGGTCTGGGAGGTGACTTGGTCCAGCACGGCAGATCTGCAGGTGGACTGGGCGAAGGCCCTGGAGGCAGCCCGGGTTGTGCCGAGGCCCTCAGCTCTCAGTTCCCTTCAGCAAGCTGGAACCCACTGCAGGAGAATCATTTATCCCTTTCAGCTTGTTGCTTCACTGTTTAAAGCAAGAGGCACAAATTAAGGCAGTGGATTGGTCCCTGTCTTCCATCAGAGAATGAGCTTCACTTTGTTTTCGTTTTCAGAGAGATTTTTGCTATAGAGTATGTGTGCTCACCAGAGAGATAGAGAGAGAGAAAGACAGAAAGCTAGAAATCACCTCCCAGGAGGGATGGCCATGCTTCAATCCTTTCTCCTCCATTCTCTCGGGATTTGGGGCATGCATGCACATGTGTCTGGTGTGAGTTTCAAGTCACCAGGTACAGGACTGGAACCATGGCTGACTACATGGGAGTCCCACAATGTAGCCATTACACCACCTGCTGGTCCCCTGTTTGTTTTTTAAAGGTCGAATCTTTTTAAAACAAAATAATTATTTATTTAATTTATTCATTGTTGTTGTTATTATTTTTAATTTGCTATAGAGCACATGTACTCTTCAGAGAGAAAGAAAAAGAGAGAATGAGAAAGAGAAAGTGAAAAAGCAAGCTGCTAAGTCCGGGACTCAAACCATGGCCCACCATGTGGGAGTCCAGAGCCTTAACTACCACATCACCTCCTGGCCTGTCACTTTGTCCTGGGATCCAAGCTGACCTTGCAGCCTTTACTGCTAGGACATAAGAATAGGTGGTCGTAGGCCCAGTCCTGGCGGTGCAGTGCTGGAAGCCATGAGGAAGTTCGGGGTTCTCTTCCCAGGCCAACTTGTACATGCCACGTGTGTGGGCGAGGGCGCGCCCAGGATCCCGGCTGGCTGAAAGGATTGCGGCATGAGACCTCGTCGAAGGTGCTTATCTTCTTCTGTCTCTCGCACATAAAATAAACAAACTAAAACAAAAAGAATAAGTGGACCTGAACAAAAAGAAAAGGGAAAAAACATTATTATTTTTGGCACAGTAAGGATGCTTTTCATTTCCTTCAGCACTCTAAAAATTGACCTTAATTCCTAGATTCCAGAGTTGCAGGGTGTTTTTATTTATTTATTTTCCTATTGAGTCATGTGCTGGACACTCAGAGCTCCACAATAAATCTCAGAACAATAAACGGATAAAGAACAAATGGAACGTTAGAGTCACACAGGTCATTGCCACTTGTTATTGAAAGAATTTATGAGTCAAGTCAATTCAGCGGGTACATTGGAACCACATGGAAATGTTTTAGGCCAACTACGGTCCCGGTTTGCCCGCTCATGGGGGTGTTCGAGAGACAGGTCCCTGCACCTGTCAGCATACGCTCTGGCTCGCTCTTCCTTTCTCCTTTTTCTTTCCCCCTTTTCCTTCTTTCTTCCTTTCTTTCTCTCTCTCTCTCTCTCTCTTTCTCTCGCTCTCCTTTCTCTTTTTCTCTTTCTCTTTCTTTCTTTCTTTCTTTTTCTTTCTCTCTCTCTCTTTCTCTCTCTCTTTCTCTCTCTCTTTCTCTCTCTTTCTCTCTCTCTTTCTTTCTTTCTCTCTTTCTCTTTCTTTCTTTCTCTCTCTCTCTCTCTCTCTCTCTCTC